GCGAAGGCCTTCGATCGGGTTCTTTTGAAGCTCCCTTCCTATGGGCTTCCCGAGAATTTGTGCAACTGGATCAGCATTTTTCTTGCAGATTGGACCAACAAAGTCGTAGTAAAAGGTATATGCTCCATTTACAAGCATATTTATGCTGGTGTTCAACAAGGCTACGTGTTATCACCTACGCTGTTTCTTCTGCTTATCAATAATATATTACAAACCAGTAACGTGCACTGGTGACGCTTTATACACCGGCTGTGCCTATATTACTCGGGAAAACGTCGCCGAGTACCGGAACAAACTTGTGTCTCAAGTCGAGGTTTTGTCGGATAAGTTGGATTGGGACGACTAAATCTAATTAAGTTCAATGCCCAGAAGACACAAGTTTGCGCGTTTACCGCTAAAAGAACCCCTTTATCGTATCTCCTTAGTTTCAAGGCACTCCCCTTTTTGCCTCAACCAGTGTCGGAATCTTCGGTGTTGACATATCGAATAACGAGTAGTTTCGTGGTCACTTGAAAGGGAAGGCTGAATTGGCCTCTAAAAAGCTTGGCGTGCTCAGCAGAGCAGGACAGTATTTTATGCCGGCACACTGTTGCAACTTTACAAGGGGCAGGTTCGGTCTAATATAGATTACTGTTCTCATCCCTGAGTTCCTTAGTACCAGCTCCTTCCACTTGACCGCATCCAGCGCAGAGCAGCTCGAATCGTCGAAGACCGACGAAGACGAAAGACGCGACGAAGAGAGTTTTGAGTTGTGATCAGGAAGACGCTGCTGCCCACCTTCTGTATATTTCTACTCCCGTTTATAAATACAGTTCTTCTCACAAGATCACCGTAAATAGGACTACATTTATGAAATTTTGAAGTCTACTTGAACGTAAAAAATATTGGCATGTATTTTATGATGCCAATGACTATTCAATGGGGCCAATAATTTGAATCAAATAACGCAAATAAACACTATGCCGTGTATTAATATAAACCGTGAAATTCAACATTATTTTGTCAAAACTATATGAACATTAATTATGAATATTATGTAAATAACGCATTTCGAATTCCAGGACAATTTACCCTACATAAAGCCACATCGGAAGACATGCCCGATATAAAAAGGCGTTGTAAAACGTATGTTATTAATGCAATTCTGATAAAATCATGTGATTCTGTAGCATATTATATTGCCAAATTTCAATCATTTACGTCCAGTATAGACACAGATACTGAGGTGTCTCTACAAGTGATCCAGTTTTGCTAACTTTTGCACGGAATTATATTAATGATGTGTCTAAATTGAAGCCCACGCGAACGAATACCTCGGTTGAAAAGTTAGTATTTCATAAAATACTTCAGTTTTCGACTGTCAAGTATTGATATAATCAATTCATCTGTTTCGGTGCATTTTATTATATGATTTTTTTTAAATAAAATAAATTCGTTGAGTAATGGTTACAACTTATCTTTGCCAGGAGTGCTGCAACTGATCTGTTGACAACCCCAACATGTTTAGACAGAAACGTATTTGTAATGACAACATAGTACCCTGTTCCCGGTCAGATTTTGTATTTGATCTGCTATTAAAAACGAAATTCAAGCATGGTCTTTCTAGCCGGATATTTCGTATTAGATATTTTGTGTTATGTGTTTAGAAATAAAAAGACGTGGTGTAACTTTCTTAAATATATAATTTTCCTTCAACGCAAAACTAATTAAGCCAGGATATAAAGAGACCACCGCGCTGCCCGAATGCGTGTTGGGAGACATTACGTGTTCTTAAAATGTCGTAAAATTCTCAGGCATGTAGGTTTCGTGTCGATATTTTTTCTCACTACCAGGCACGTTGCTAATGAGAGGCTGGCCTATGAACCATAGTACGACTTATGTAAGGTGTTACTTTACTTTTACTTTTACACTTAATTTAAAATTAAGAAATAGGTAAAATGAGAACAAGTGACAAGAGATATGTTATAGATTAAAGGCTGTTTTTTTTCTAATTATAAAGTAATGAAATTAATTTTTTTCAAAAGAAATTGAAATTTTATTTGTCAGCGGCAATTTTTTTTGGCAGCGCGGCGTACATTTTCTTGTCTTGTGTAGTTTTTTGTCCTAAAACCCTGTCAGAAATGAGTGTGCCTGTGTCCGAGCTTGTGCCCAGCAGTGAGATGTATATATGTTGTGAATTTACTTTTACTTATATTTAATATCACAATTATTATTAATACACATTAACAATATTGACCAGGATACATATTAAGTAAACAACCATGACATGGTAGGTCATAATTTGAATATTTTGGCGTTTAATGAACTGTATAAACACGTCGTTTTGTCACGACTTGAGCTGGGCTTCTGACATCATTGATCGTAAATGATGTGCGAGCGTGAGATAAACGCGAGGAAGATCACTTATAACTTCCTACCTACTCTCGTTAGGACCACGATGAAAAAGATAATATATAACTTGTCTTTGACTTCAAACTGGAAGTTGGCTGTGTCTTAGGCCCGACACATACATACGGTATTCTGTTTCGGGATACCGTTTCGATATTCCGCTTCGAGATTCCGAACGCAGCAAGTTTATATAAAATCAATGACCCGTCACACACGTACGGTAGTTTTGCGTTTGGAAATTTTGCGAGCAAAACGGGATTCTCTATGTATGTGGCCGACCCGTTCGGAATTTCGAAACGGGATTCCGTATGTATGTGGCCGGCCTTTCCCCCGTGCCTCGGAAAACACGTAAAGCCGTTGGGCCTGCGCCTGATCTCTCTCCGGTCGTGTTCATGCTTGCGCATACACCTGAGAACTATAATTCTGCCCTGCGCAGATGGCTAGTCTCCATTGGCCGGCAGCCGTGACCGAAATTCGGTCTCACATTATTATTATTATTAATTATTCTTTAAAATTATTAATGGATAAGGTTTCAGGAAACCAAATTCAAACACGCAAACAAATAGTCATATAGAATACACGTACTTCAAAGTAATTTAATCGTTTTTAAACATTTGAATTTATAATGTACTCATAAACAATTAAACAATTATAAAAAAGAATAAAGACCTCATCTAATTGTTCACTCAATAGCTAGCCTGTCAAGGAAGTGCGATCACGAAGGTTCTTGCTAATTATACTGTTGTATGTTTTTTTGCATTAATTACGTCTTATCTCTGCGACACGACCTTTTTGCTTTGTACCGTTTTCATTTAAAAATAGGACTGGGTTCGAAACTGTAAATATTATCATGTCCATCATTGTGGGCTTTAGACATAGCTATAGGTGATGATGACTTCTTTTATCTAATAGATTTCTTTTACGTAAGTATAGTTATCGTAAAAGTTGCAGCGGAACGGTCCTAGCTACCATTTAAATTTGTATAGGACAAAACAAACGAAAGTTTAACTGTGTAACTTAAACTGTTAACTGTATGTCTGTCTGTCCGGGCTCAATACCAGGAGTGATTTAGACTATATTTTATCAGATACAATAAATAATTTTTGATGATGATTGGCTCTCACGTTTATCTTCTCTCTCTTAAAGTTTTGACATAAAATCGATTTTTATTTAATTTAAGACCATTTTTCAATAGATCTATGAGTGATAAATGAAAAGATGATAAGACCCTTTTTACGTAACATCAGAAGTTCGTATCGCATTTATGTAGTTTTCGAGATAATGGCAAAAAACTGAGCTTATTTTGATAACTGAACTCTTGTCTCTATAAATGTTCCCTCGGTTTTATAGCCTTGTGGAATATTTAGAGACGATGGCAGGAGACCCAACGGTATGACATTGGTCCCTTGGGTGAGAGGTAAAGCCCTAGTGTGGGATGCTACTTGTGTAGACACTCTGGCGGCCTCTCATCTCAGGGGTACCTCGTTTAGAGCCGGAACGGCATCAGAGGCAGCTGAACTGAGTAAGTGGCGCAAATATGAGTCTCTGAGAGATGACTACATATTTGTGCCATTTGCTGTAGAGACTATCGGTCCGTGGGGTCCACGTGCGGTAAAGTTCCTAAAGGAACTCCATTCGCGGCTGGTCGTTGCTGCTGGTGATAAGAGGGTTGGTTCTTTTCTCGCTCAAAGGCTAAGTATAGCTATTCAGCGGGGAAACGCAGCCAACGTTCTTGGCACGATACCGCGGGGAGTAGGACTATATGATAATTAAGTTTCTAGTTTTATATTCTTTATTATTGTCGTTTTTAATATTGTATATAATTTATATAAAAAAATTATTATTTTCATATTTTTTATTATTTTTATTATTATTATTATTATATAATTATATTTTATAATAATAATTATTATAATAATTACCCAAAGAGCACAAGATATTATAAACGTGCAGGTTTATTTTGGTTAAAATCCACACGAAAGAAAGAAGCGCAGAAGTCGCGGGTAAAAGCTGTTTAAACATATTATATGTAAACACCAGCCAAAATGTCGCCCTCCTTTTGGACTCTAGCGCAGTCGGATAAAAATGACTTCGTTTGAAAGCACCGTTTACAAGTCAAGTTAGTTAATTTGCAAGAAAAACGAGTCACCGAGTCACGTACCACAGCGCTTATTCCGTGCAATTTAATTTAATTTTGTATCTGTATTCACATCTTGCGAATTGGTTAGTGAGAGTAATGAGGTATTTGACGTTTTTCTTAGGACCGTGGTTCAGTAGCCAGCGGAGTTCTGGTTCATTTTATTTTATTTTATTTATTCATTTGTCACACCAACAAGATATACAAGATATTCATTAGTTAAACATCGCGCCAAAGCTTTTTGTCGATCTCAAAACAAGAAATAAAGGTAGACGAAGGAGAGTTCTGTGTATATTTAAAGTGACGCGAAAATCATGCCCAACTTCTTGACCTTTTAACTTTCTTCTCACGCACACTAGGATTATAATATACAAAATATTTATAGCACACTAGGATTTTCACCTGTATCGTGGGGTTGTTGTAACTTAGAAAACATAATTCTGATAATTTATGAAAAGTTTTTGTAAATACTTACAACTGCCAAGTCGATTTGTTTTTCGGAGCGTTCGCCACCGAGAAAACCTTGTTGGCCAAGCTCCTGCAAATAAAGTTTTGCTTCTCACATATCGAGGTAACAGTTGCCAGAGAAAAAAATATAAAAATGTGCATTGATTTTTATATTAAAGGGATTAAAAAGTTATTAGCCATTAGAGAGAACTATGTTAGCAAAGCTCTCCCGGAAGTAAAGTATAATTAGAAAATCATAAATCTTATAAATAAAAGTACGAGTAAAAGTAGTTGTGTGATGACAAAAAGGATTCCGTCTCATTGATAATCTGTGTGATACCACAGCACTGGTTTTCAGTTAGTGAAAAAGGGTGTCTTGTGTTTTTCAAATACTCAAGTTTTTGAAGAAAACTAGTTTTTACGGACTTTATCGCGTATATTAACTTATTTTATATTCCCGACGTTTCGAGTACTTTACAGCACCCGTAGTCACGCGGGGGACTGAGGTGTATAACGTCCCAATGTCATAGTTAACCACGGCTACCTCCAAATTAAAAATTATTAATTTTTGTTCCGATCTACGCAGTATGAACTTACAGTATCATGAAGTCTTGCAGTAGTATGCTTGGATTGGGATTTAATTTTATTAATTATAGGATCCCAAGCTGATGGCAGCACCCAGCCATCTTATCTATTGAAATTAGGATGTTTTTTGATTTCAATAGCCTCGCGAATCAACCTTGGAAGGAATCGGTGTTCTTTAGCGAGGATTTGTGGTCTATCAAATCTAATGTAGTGACGGGGGTGATCCTGTACGTGTTCACAGACTTCAGACTTCCCGGAGCGTCGATTCTTCATATCAGCTGTGTGTTCTTTAACGCGGGTTTTTTTTATTGATCTCTCATTGAACTCATGTTTCTAATTTATAACAAGATCTTTCAGCTGTAATATTGCTAACGGATGACCCTCATATTCATATTCGTATTCTGGGAGAGAATATTCCTTCCCCGATCGAGTCGACAAATTCGTGCTTCAACTATATTACTAATATAGCTGCAGCATTGCTCTACCACGTATTCCTGACCGATGAATCGTCAAAATTATTGATGTAAACAGGTAAATAAGTTTTTTTTACGGGTGACACAGTCCACCGGTTTTTTATTGAATGACCTGATGATATGTGGATTTTGTTTTATCGCCCATAGACATCTATAGCATACATCCTTAATACTACAAAAAAGCCCCGTTACCACTAAAAATTTAGTGAAATAAGTGGCGAAAAAGGTACTCGGTTTATACAAAGTACTCTGTGGAATATTGTCATTTGATCTAGTAATTTTAACCATTAGAAACACAGCATTATGCTGATATATACGCTGGAATGCTGTAAAAACGTTCTTCCACACGGACTCTGTGTAATTCTGTGTCTTTGCTTACTATAACGTCAAGTTTCGGACACTATTAGAGTTTATCAGAAAGATACGTATAGCAATGCAGCTTGATCTAAAAGTGCCATTTCATTGTTCATTTATGTCACGTACAGGTGTATCGAGGATAGTTTATTATAAAGTACAATTCAGACACCTACAGAGAAAATATAAAAAATTAATCGAGTTAAGTGTGAAATGGTTGGACACGGTTAATGTGCAAGTTCAAAAACCTATGGCTACTATTTACAAGAAGTAATTCGGTGGTATCATCTTAAATGAGATAAATACTTAATTTATTATTTTGTCAATAATGGTTAAGAGCGTTTTAGCTTAAATTCCAAATTGATTATGGAAAACATAACAATATATTTTTTGCTCTCTACAATCTTAGAATGGACAGCCATTCCAAGTTTGTCTGGAAGAATAGCATCTTTAGCGATTGGACACTATCAAAGATCACTGCTTAACATATGCCTCTGCATAGATTGCCTCATAAAGAGGATATTTGGCATAATTATCAACGCTTGGCAAGCGGGTTCGCATGGCGTTCATTTCTTATTTTGTTCTCTTGATTTTTATCTTGTTCATGTTTACGTTTTTGATATAAAGTGTTATCTATCTACGTATTTATCTTCTGAAAGAAATCGTTTTGAATGCGTCTGGTATTGCCAGATGGTCGGGATTCGTCTGGATTTTCCCGACAATCTAAATGATCTCCAGACTCCCGACAAAACCCAAAATCTCCAGACAAACAGCTTTGCTTCAATAAAAACAGAGTTATTACCTATACTGAACTTTGAAGTAAATTGTTGAATTTTTAAATCTTTTCTAAATACTACTAAAGGATCCAAATTGGTGGACCCAGTAAAGTCCAATGCCAAATACATGTGGCAACCTAAAAATTAAGTGTATTTAATTAGTTTTCTTTAAACTAAATTTTGTAGAATCTTAATTTAAGAAATAAACTTTTTATTTTTAATATTTATTTCTCCCGACAACAACCCCAAAATCCTGGCATTTTCAAAATTTGTCCAGACGTTTTGGTCTTCCGATCTAGCAAACCACTGCTACTGCGATGATTTGTTAAATACCAAATCGTCTCGCATCTCGCATGGCGGATTTCACACCTCATAACACACAGCTAAAGTAAAAATAAGTTTAAAACGGGGTTAAAGCAATTGCACATGACGACAATTTTCGCTTAACTTTGTACTTAGTGAGCTTATGGGTTTATAAATTTTGATATTCTATATTAATTTCAACTCGGCACACTAGTATTACTTAATTACTTGAAGTATAGTTTTCAGTAGTTTTTCTTTTCCTGTGCTATGTCTAACTTAGTTTTAAGATTCTAGGACAATACTTAATTATAGGGTTTTATGGGTGTTTTCATTAGAATTCAAACACATGAAACAGAGAAACCTCCAGACAAAGAAACCGTAGTAGATTTTCATTTTGAAACTGTAGTAGATTATAAAACATTTGGACTAAAACGTAGTGATTATATACTCTTTGATATTGACGTTTAGCAAAGGAATTTTAATTCTTACGTCGAAAAATAAACTTTTCATTTCGTTCATTATATGCTCGAAAAGTAATGACCGTATATTTTTTACCTGACTGTCCCAAAAGGCGGGTAATGTTATTCGAGTTAGCGTTTAACTTAGGGTAGTTTAAATTACCCTAAGTTAAACGCTTCTCATTATCTTTAGGTTATTAATTATTGGTGCTGCTTCAAAATACTCGAAATTCGCAAATTTAATAACTACCAATTATATATTAATTAATAATTATATATAATTAATAATTAATAATATTAATTGATAATTGTAATAGTTATCAAGCTTTATTTAACGTTTTTAATCGCGTAAATATAAATAAATAATTATTACCCGCTATCACACGGACCTAAAATTAATTTCACGAACCTCAAACAAATTTTAGGTACTGTCATTGTAATAAAGGGAATCAATTATAAAGTATATAATAGGTAAGTGTAAAGTAGTTAGTGCTTTTTTGTGGTAAGGTATTACACCGTATTTCGGATATCACATCTATCTCAAATAAAAATATTCGTTTACAATAAAAAGGCAACAGATCAACGACAGGTCAACTCATCATCAAAAATGTTAGCGCTAATTCGTATCGAATTCGCACCATAATTAAATAATTTTTTTACTTTGATATCGTAAATGTTTTACTTTGACCACAAATATATTAAATTATAAATAGTTAGTCGACCGGATATTTACCAGTTCTTCATAACATAAGTCGTGATTCATTAATTTCATTAATTACAGTCAAAGTTAAAGTTCTCTACAGAATGCCTCCAAACCAAGGTATTCATAGGGGAGATATTTGCCATAGTTGACACTCTTGTCAGGCGGATAAGCAAACGCAGTTTTTTTTATTATTTTATTATTATATTGTTGCTAGAGAAATGCAGCTGCCTATCTCCTGTTTTATTACCGTCTGTCGCCCACAGGGTACGGGGTACGGGGTACGGGGTACGGGATAGTGGATTTTCTGCCGCCGCCACTACACGGCAAACTAAAGAGAAAAGCCTTTATGCTCATTTCTCTCACAACACAAACGTCAGCAGAGTGCGTCTGCAACACAAACTGAATTACAAGTTTTTGCCAGTTGGCGCAAACTTGAATGACATAGAAACAATGTCAAAAAGTACTTACATATAAATATGGCTCCATAAAGATCTCATAAACATTGCTTTGGTAATCTTCAATGGCTGGCAATGATTTTATAATTAAATTTCTTCCATAGCCTGGAATGCCTTGGATAGTCTTCCCGTTTAAAACTGCTATCAGCCACAACGTTTGGCCAACAAACACATGCAGACGCAAATGCATGTTGCGATATTCGTTTATTTTTTTTTAATTATAAAACAAAAACTGCCTATTTTTAGTCAAATTAAGAATTTGACTAGGAATACAATTAAAAAAATATAATTTTGATAGCACGTGTCGTCCCAACTAAAGGCGAACTGTCAATGATTTTGCTGCACGGTAAACAATTTTGAAGTGATGTTTTTATGTGTAATGAATACGTGAAACGATTGTATGTCGGTTTGTCATTACTCGATCTTCGTGAGGATCCAAGGCTTTATAATTGAGAAGCGTGAAGTAAAGGATAACTTAGACACGGCATTGTATACATATGTGGAAGCCGAAACCTTAATGCCATGTCTGAACATTTCTATAATAGTAGACATCTAATAATGTCATCGATTCATTGTGTATTTTTTGTATTATACATGATCATTTAATAATTATACGGGTTGTTTGTGACTAATAACTTCGATGTATTTCTTGTAATGAATTTGAAATTACTAAAATAGATAGAAAAACCCTAACGTACTCTTAAAATGGTTCGTAAAAAAAGAAGTCATGCTTCTTTTCTAGCATCATAGACACCTCCATTTATATTCAAATCAGAACACAACAGTGTATGCACTACTGCTTGGTGGTAGAAATATGTAAAACGCGATACCAATAAATTTTTTAAGAGTGAGGGTGATAAAAATAAGCGCAACGTCCACCATCTTAAGCCTGTTCTACCATCAGTAAGTGGATACTGTGGCCTATAAAGTTAATAAAGTTTCGCGACTAATCGATCAGTCGAACCGCTGGCCACTACTTTGCCATTTGTATAATGATTTCTTATATTTACGCGAACTCTACATATTGAATAAAACTACTTTTACAGATTTTATCGCGTTTAATTAAGTTATTTTATATTCTCGACGTTTCGGTTGCTTTCCAGCAACCGTGATCACGGGAGATTGAGATGATTGACGTGCCGATGTCAAAGTTAACCCGGAGTACCTTCAGCTTTTTTAATTATTAACTTTATATTCCCGACCGAAACCGACGTTTCGGTTGCTGGAACCGAAAAATTATAATATATAAAATAACTTAATTAAACGCGATAAAATCCGTTAAAGTAGTTTTGCCATTTGTATTTATAAATCGTGCATTTTAATTTTGAACCTCTGTCCACAGTTTTCCAGCAGCACCCTCAAAGACGGCAGTATCCTCCGGAACCTATAGGTGTAGGACGTGAGCGACTCGCGGAGTATCTCCGTCAACATTTATTCCGGAGAGTTTCGCCCGTCCGGCACATTCGCTGGTCCTTCATCTATGGTCAATTAACAAGTGGTAAAATTAAAAATTTTGTACAACCAACTTCAATATAAATAAAATGAGAATATCATCAGTATTGTCGAAGTCAATTAAATACGCATCATTAAGGATAACTCAAAAACTACTGGTCAGATCTTGATCATTATAATTTATATGGGACCACATGAGAAGCACCAGCTTTAAAATAAAAAACAACATCAAAATCAGTTCACTTAGACAAAACATCTGAGGTAACACACATAAAAAAATAGAGTCGAGTTGAGAACCTCCTCCTATTTTTCATGTCGGATGAAATTCAAAATGCAGATGCGTTATGACTTATTAGCCTTGCAGAACGTGCACACTGTGGCCCATAGACACCCACATTTATCAATAAAACAGCTAATTAATTAATAATTACAACCATAATATAGTGTTTATAAGCTGCAGCATAGCTCTGCCAGGCTATTTTAGGCTATCAAAGACTTCACTCGTCATAATTTAATATAACCAATTTATTCTGTGATACAACTTATCTAACTAGTGCTTAGTAACTATAATTTAACTAGTGTTACAAACAGCCAGGATAGTTTTCTAATGATGAGTTTTAATAAATTTAATTACTAAAGTATTTTTGTTTAATTATTTAGTTAATGACATTTTATTTATATTCCAGCAATTTTAATACTATTGGAATATTTTGTTTCCCATACAAGCCCTTATGATAAGTTAGGTAACAAATCCCATTAATGTTACTTGTAAGTTACAACGTTCAAATAACGTTCTTTCTGCGGTTCTGACTTGTACTCATACGTGTGCTCCGCGCGAAAGCCGCAACGAACTGATTGAAATTAGGGATGTGAAAAAATAATCGATTTTAATATTAATCGATTATTTTTTTGTTATAATCGATTTTTCGAAGTCGATTTTTTTATATTAAAAATCGATTTTTAATAAATCGATTTTTATGTAAATTACGCGTTTCAATCGATTTTCGTAATCAGAGTCATCTGTGCGATGGATGTAAAAACGTGAAGTAAGTTCAATAACATGAATAAGTCAATCAAAAGACGGCGCCACCTTTATGTATCTCTATGTATGTAAAACAGTTTCGCTTTTCGTATGTTTTCAACAGGTTTCTTCCTCCGCTAGGAGTAGAAGTATTCTGTGGTTTTCTTTCTTTCTTTGGTTAGTGTAAACAACTATATATAAACAATAAAAATGTCTTGTGAAACGCGTAAAAGTGACTGACAGAAGTATTTTATAATGAAAAAATGATAGCGGCTAACACGTCAATAGGCAAAAATACTGAATTGAATCTATATATTATGGCACCACTATCAAATCTCAAGGCAGATGCCCTCAATATATGGAGAAGCTCTGAAGGAACTTTCCCTAAACTAATCGAATTGGCTTTTAAACACCTCTTAGTTATGGCCAGTTCCGCGCCAGCCGAAAGATTATTTTTGAAAGCGGGAAATATTGTCAGGTAAAAACGAAACCGTATTTTGGGAAAGAGACGAAGAAGAATTTTGGTGAAATGATTGTTTTTAGTCTTTAACTGAAAATTCATGGCAATATTTTTTTTACTTTTTTTGTTTACACTAGTGTAAAAAAAGATTTGTCTTTTATTTTAGTTTTGAGATCACAAGGTTGTCGTCGGATTATTTATAATTATATTTTTATTTTATTTTCATTCTAATCCAATGTAAATGATACTGAACATTAGTGGCATAATGATATTTAAACTTTTTGTTTGTTCAAACTTAGTTTAAAAAAAATATCCTTTACTGAAATTATGGTTTCTTAAAGTTTTCTTATATTTACGCGAAGACTACACATTTAATGAAATTAATTTTTACGGATTTGATCACGCTTAATTTAACTTTTTAATTCCTGACGTTTCGGGTGCTTCACAGCACCCATGGTCGCAGAGGGGACTGAGGTCTTTGACGTCCAGATGTCATAATTAGCCTGCCTAAATTCAGTTTTTGAATATTAATTTTTGGTCCGATCTACGCAGAATGAGCTTACAGTATCTTGAAGTCTTACAGTGGTATGCTTGGGTTTGGATTTAATTTTATTAATTATAGGATGCCAAGCAGATGGCAGCACCCATCCATCTTCTCTATTGAAATTAGGATGTTTTTTAATTTCGATAGCCTAGCGAATCATCCTTGGTAGGAATCGGTGTTCTTTTGCGAGGATTTGTGGTTCAACTATGACATAGGGACGTCAAACACCTCAGTCCCCTCTGTGACCATGCATGCTGTAAAGCACCTGAAATGTGGGGAATTAAAAAGTTAAATTAAACGCGATAAAATCCGTAAAACTTAGTTTAATTTATCGTTTCTGTTTATTTTGGTTGTAATAAATTGTTAAATGGCACTGAACATTTGTGGCAGTAATTATTTTTAGTTTTTTATTGCTCAAAGTTATATGTTAAAAAATTGTTCTGTAGTTTATTTCTAAAACCAGAAGATTAAAATGATCTTATCTACCGAATATAATTTTTTTTCGCAAAAATCGATTATTTTTTTATAAAAAAATAGATTTTTCTTAAATCGATTATTATCACAAAGCAAAAAATCGATTTTTTATTAATCGATTTTTTTCACTCAATGTCACATCCGTAATTGAAATTGCACCAATTGCGCTACACTCGCGACAGCGGCAGGGCCGATCTAGGGAGCAAGGAAGGTCTTCTCGCGAAGCGCTCCTGTTGCCCTGTCGCAGGGCCGACTTAAAAAATTGCCCCTGCTTGCCTACACACATCATAATTAAGTAGGCAATTAAAGGTCATCCCTACTCCTACACCCTAGATTGCCCCTGCGGCAGGCATGTCAGTAGCCGCCTTAACATGGAATGCTTGGTTATCAGTAAAAATGGAATTCTACTCTCGTCTAACCTAACATCAGTAAAAGTGTATTTTATACTGTAGTTTATTGAAACTTCATCTATCCTGAAACTAACTATATTATGGATGTAGCACGAATGGGTCGGCTCGACCAGGGTAGGACCATGCTCTCACAGAATACCAGCGTAAATTTTGTATGGTGAGTATAGAGAACCGGAGACCCACTTTAGCGGAAACTAGGCGTTCCATCTTAGTCCACAGGGGTGACAACGCATCTGCATTTTGATTCTTAACTAAGATAAATGTATATGTTTATGGGGCACGGCATCCAACTACCATCAGGTGGACTGTGTGCTCGTTTGTCACTCCATATTCTATAAAACAATCCTCCAAAAATGTTGTCATTTCTACTACTACCTAATCGGTAAAACGGACTAATGTGTAATGATTCTCTACCAGTAAAGCGTGTATTTGATACCCACCATACGAAACTAGTCTCAGTCATTCCGCGGTCGAGCCAACGCTTTCGTACTGCAGACTTATTATGTTACTCAGTAAATTAACTCCTAGACTCCTAGAGTAGAAAAGTGCTACCCATTGGTATTAACTTATTTGATTTTTTTTTAAAACATTACTCCTATCCAAACAAGGATTTTCTCCTGTGTCGACGAAGCAATTTACACATATAACTTGCACAGGGATAGGACACCCAGACCCAGAGCAATTACGCGGTGCGGGATTTGAACCAGCGGTCTTTAACGACACAATTTTATGGTACTGCGACTCGGAGCCGTCGATCCGTCGCCGTGGTATTGACTCTGCGCTTGTGGGTTAATGTAGATTGGATAATGTTTCGTTGTAATTGTGTAGG